GTATATAACATTTTTTTCAAAAATGCTTTGTTTTCGAAAAATTTGACTGGTCCGGGACTTTTTCCCCACCGTGTGTAATTGTTCACGTGTAACATAATGTGGGATACAACCAATTTTCGAGCAATATTAAAGTAATAAAAAGAATATCCGATTAATTAATTGTGACAAATTTCGTTTCTTTAAATAACTATAAACGTTTAGACTAAATTTGGTCTTCGTCGGAGCAAAATATAAATTTATATTCAGAAAGATAATAATAAAATAAAATAATTTTTTATTTTCTACATATTATATTGTGATCAGTAACCATGTGCCTTGCCACAAGTATTATATTATTCCAGCGTTAAATTGACTTTGACTATAAGTGTATATCCTTGCGTTTATAATGTGAGCTCCAGTACTTTATTTTAATTTTATTATCATCTTTCTAAATGTAAATTAATATTTTGGTCTGAGAAAGTCAAAGTTAGGTCGAAATGTAAGCTTATTTTAAAAAAACAAAATTTGTTGAAAATTAATCGAATATTCTTTTTTAGAATATTCTTATATTAATCGAAAATTGGCCGTATCCTATTGTGTTAGCTACTGCTTTACACGAGTGAAAATGTATTTATTGTTTACTCGTATATCATATATTAAATCTAATCTAACCTATTTTTACTTGGAGATTCTTATGTTTTAATTAATAGATTTTTGTATATAATTTTGTATATTATTTATTATATTATATATTGCTGTGTTATACTATACTATATATGTATATGTACTCACCTGGTATTTGTAATTCTTTGCTTATAAATGACCACGAATTTTCCGCAACCGTTCGATCTTTGTATTTTACATCTTTTTTTGTCATATAAATGTGGAAATTTTTCCACCAAACTTATTAATTTTGTATCGTTAGTCATTATTTGTTTCTCGTACCCACGGTCTTGTACAGGTTTCTCGACTGCCTCTAATTTTCGATGGTGGAGGTAGTATAGGTGTTCTAGTTATTACACGCTATAAAATGGACGCGGTTACTTCTATATAATAAAGTCTTTATTCTCTGAACTATTACACAGGTACTGACTAGCTCGAGCGGCAGTCAAGAGACAAGTGAAGTAGTAGTCTCTTTTTGGCGGGACGATGATGTTGGAAGCGTTCTGAAACCCATCGGTTCTGGTTGTAGGTGGCGCTGTTGATTCGGTCCAGTTGCTGCCGCCACAATACTCCCCTCCGAGTGACTATGTCACGAATCTGACAACTTTGGTTTTCTTTGGAGCGTAGGATGCCTCTATACCTGCGCTGGATTGTCCGGGTTCCGGTTGGTCTTCCTGCGGGTCTGTAGCCTCGATAAATGCCGGCTTCAACCTGTCGATGTTGATGGTGGTTGGCTGTCCCTTGTAGTTGATCTTAAAAAGAGAATCGTTAAGTTTTGTTATAACTGGGAATGGTCCTTCGTATGGCTGTTCCAATGGGCCCCTTCGTCTATCCACCCGTACAAATACGTGTGTGCTGGATTCCAGTTCTTTGTGGATAAATGGCTTCTTCTTGATGTGATGTGCTGTGGGTACTGCCCTGGTTGCTCTCATGTATTCCCGAAATTTTTCGGTAAACATTTGTGGACATCCCGTTGGTTCCTCTGCAGCGAAGTATTCACCGGGCAACTTCAACGTGGTACCGTACACCAACTCTGCTGCGGATGCTTTAATATCTTCTTTGTAGCTGGATCTCAGGCCAAGTAAAACGACTGGAAGTGCTCCCACCCAATTTTGTGTTTCGTGGCACTTTATGGCTGTTTTAAGCGACCGATGCCATCTTTCGATCATGCCATTAGCTTGCGGGTGGTAAGTTGTCGTGCGGATTCGTCTGCTTCCGATGAGTTTGGTCAGCGCTTCGAATATTGAGTGATTCAAACTGGCTTCCTCTGTCCGTTGTAATTATGGCTGGCACTCCAAATCGGGCGACCCAAGTGGTAAAGAAAACTGTCGCTATGGTGTCCGCAGATATATCGGCTATTGGTGTTGCCTCTGGCCATCTTGTGTACCTGTCTATCATTGTTAGGCAGTATTTGTTACCTTCAGCAGTCGGCAGCGGGCCAACGATGTCGAGGTGCACCTGGTGGAAACGTTCATCTGGAATTCCAATGTGTTCTGGTATGCGTTGATTGTGGCGTTGGATTTTTGCGCGTTGACAAGGTAGGCACGTCTTTACCCAGTTTGCCACATCTTTGTTCATGCTAGGCCAAACGAATCGTTGAGCTATGGTTTTGCGCGTTGCCTTGATCCCTGGGTGTGATGTCTTGTGGACTGTATCGACTACCTGTCTGCGTAATGAGGCTGGAATATAAATTCTTATTTGGTTAGTGACATCACAATAAATTGTGGTTTCAGAGTTGTCCAGGCGCAGTTTTCGGAGCGTGAGTGCGGAGTGTCCTTGCAGTAGGTTTTGCAGTTCCGCGTCGTTGCGTTGCTCTCTTGCTATTTCCTGTGTACTGACGATCACCGGCATGTCTATTGCTTCGATCCTGGAGAGGGTGTCGGCTATTATGTTGTTCTTCCCGGCGATATGTTCCATGTGGTTGACGAACTGGCTTATGAAACCAAGCTGTCGTATCTGTCGTGGTGAAGCCTTGTCCGGTTTCTGCGTCAGTGCGTATGTGAGTGGTTTATGATCGGTACGTATTGTTAATTCACGTCCCTCGACCATATATCTAAAAAATTTTATGCCTTCATAGGTTGCGAGTAACTCTCGATCATATGCACTATATTTGGTCTGTGCTTGGGTTAATTTCTTTGAAAAAAACCCAATGGTTGGCGTTGTCCATTGATGCGCTGCTCTAAAACCGCTCCGATTGCGATATCCGATGCGTCCGTACTTAGTATTAATGGAACGTCTTCCGCTGGATGCGCTAATAACGTAGCTTCTGCCAATTGCCTCTTGCAGTCTTCGAAAGCTTGTTCGGTTTCTTGGTTCCAGTTTGGTGAGCGTTTATCCTTTTTTGTTGCTCCGTGTGTGAGGATGTGGAGTGGTGCCTGTGTTTGTGCTGCCGCTGGTATAAATCGTCTGTAAAAGTTTATCATGCCCAGCACTCTTCGTAGTTCTTCGATTGTCTTTGGTTTGTTGATACGTAATATTGCCTCGACTTTGGTTTGTATCGGTTTGGTACCGTCTTTGGTAATTGAACATCCGAGGTACTTGACTTCCTGTTGGCCTAGGTTGCATTTTCCGGCAACTGTTCTAGAAATAAACTGCGGATCATAATGTCGGTGCAGTCTTTACCTGCTAAGTTTCGCAAACGCTGTAGAAGGTGCGAGGGTTTGCTCTCGCCTAATTCCTGGCCGCGTAATAGTTTTCGCAGTTTCGTTTCTTTAGATTCACCGAAGGCGTTAATAATTCTCGTCTTGATCGCGTCGTATTTGTTCTGGCTCGGGGGGTCAGTAATTAAATCAGTGACGAATGGAATGGTGGTCTGATCTAGATTACTTAAGATATGTCGGAACTTAGTCTCGTCGCTTGTGATGCGGTTCAATGCAAAAGTGGCTTCTACTACATTGAACCACTGCGTAGGCATTTCGCGCCAAAATGGTTGCGGTAACCTTACTTTGTGCGTTGCGCTGACCCATGCCCCGTCTATTAACGGATGGGTTACTGCTGCTTGTGTATGCCCTGCGTGCGAACCTCCTAATGCTGCCGTTCCTTGACCGCTTGCCTCGTCTTGCAAATCCTCATCTGTCTCGTCGGGCTTCAAGCCGTCTCGTGGCGGTGAATGTTCGAGCGGCATACTCGAACGGGCCTGTCCGCGCGCTAATCTTGCGATAGAAGGAGAAAAGAACAGCGGAGTCCACTTATTTGTGTTCGGGGTCACCAATTATAGGTGTTCTAGTTATTACACGCTATAAAATGGACGCGGTTACTTCTATATAATAAAGTCTTTATTCTCTGAACTATTACACAGGTACTGACTAGCTCGAGCGGCAGTCAAGAGACAAGTGAAGTAGTAGTCTCTTTTTGGCGGGACGATGATGTTGGAAGCGTTCTGAAACCCATCGGTTCTGGTTGTAGGTGGCGCTGTTGATTCGGTCCAGTTGCTGCCGCCACAGTAGGTCGCTTAAGCTGCCTTTTCACCTTGCGTCTGGAAGCCAGATCCGTTTGGCCGGTTACCCCCACTTCGTTGCATATTTCTTTTTTGTTTGAGGGGAATGGAAGCTGACTTCGAAAAGCCAACGCTAAAACCACTGCTCCCTTTTCACCTTGCGTCTGGAAGCCAGATCCGTTTGGCCGGTTACCCCCACTCCGTGACACGTTTTCGTTTTGATCACAACTGCATATAGTTGTGACTTATTATTAGTGCTTGCATAAATAATAAGGATGCATCGGTTCAACTCTCGATCAAGAAAAAATACTATTGGGGATATACTTCTTTTTTTTCGTACAGCATTGCAATAGGTTATATACGCAAATGTGCCATAGACGCATACCCTTATGAAAAAATACACTCAATCATACGTTGACGGTCCGAAATAACCATCAAATTGAGTGTAAACCTTCATAATTGAGTGTTTCATGAAGGTTTACACTCAATTTGATGGTTATTTCGGACCGTCAACGTATGATTGAGTGTATTTTTTCATAAGGGTACTTTTTCAGCAATTCGGCAATCAGTAAATAATTAATGAATTGATATTAATAATAAAGATATAAACTTTTTCTCGTTTCTGTCCTCATTGCCGTTGCCAAATGAACTCATTTTTATTTTCGTGTTGTCACTTTGTCACGTAGCGAATTTCAGCTAGAGTTCGACCATTCCGAACTTCTGGCGTCTAAACGCCAGGAGGCCAGGAGCAAGCCAGGCGGAGAATCTGCGCTCGGAGTGGGGGTAACCGGCCAAACGGATCTGGCTTCCAGACGCAAGGTGAAAAGGCAGCTTTATTGTAAGCTTACAATAATGGCTCCTGCCCACTGAACGCGGCAACGTTACCGCGTCCAGTGGGCAGGAGCCATAAGCCTTGGTGGAAAAAGCAAGGTGTAGCATTGCGCATAATGGCGGCAGCTTTGGCGGTTAAACCAATCAGAAGGTGACCCATTTTGCATCAAACGCATTGATGGAAGCAGCCATATTACCGTGCTCGTACCAAAATATTTAGCACAAACTGATTGTTGTAGAGATTGATTATGTTTGTAATCAATCTGCATATGTTCTTTCAAGACGGCTTATAAGGCTGTGTTCCAAAATTCACTGCCAGCGCTGAAAATTTATAGTGCACGTAACGCATGCTATAGATATTCGGCGCTGCCACTCTGCCAGTGAATTTTGGAACACAACCTATATCAACGGTTACAGCTACGGACTACGGCCTTCATTATAAACCAAAACGTCAAAATTTACGGCATAAGTTAACGGTTTTAAATTACCAGCATACGGTTACGGCCATCATAAACCAGCCTTAAAGCCTATCACAATGCCTGGCAACAGCCCAGGTAGCAAAATGATATCAAAATGTCAAGAAAAGGACAACTAAAAAAAGATACGGATAACTTTTTAATTGGCAGAAAAGATACCTTTAGGATTGCAAATAGTATCACTAATGTACGCTTGGCGGATGACGTATTTATGTCCGAAATCTAACTATAAGATAACTTGTAGTGGATATCAAATTGCCAGCATATGGTAATCCTTTTTCAGTTGACAATATGTCAACTTAGAGTTATTAAATTGCTAAATAAATATAGTCACCCAGTAGATGTCTTAGAGATATCTAAAAGAGGTTAACAAAATAGAATCTAAACGGCATCAATCAGTAATATCTTAAAGATATTATTTATAGGATATGGATATGGAACAGGTGCAGATAATAAAGCAGATAATAAAAGTTTATTATCTGAAATACGGATGTACATAATATGAAGTTAATTGTTAACTATATACAAATAATTGTAGATAATTATTAACTTCATATTACGTACATCCGTATTTCAGATAACAAACTTTATTACCTGCAGCTCATCTCATATAGATATACACTCTATTTAAAAGAATCAAAATGTTTTTATTATTATTATAAATATACTATTATTATTAATGATATTAAAAATCTAGAAGTAATATTACATTAATATATATAAGTAATGATCACACTTCTGCTACTGTGCTTGAGACCTTGCAGCTTCACCTCGCAGTCGTCTAGTTGTAAACGCGACAGATCGATGTAACACAATGTAAAAGGGTCGTGCACAAGCTGCGAAATTGTCGAAAGCACTGCCGACATTCCTCATCCGCTGCCAGAAGTGTCTCGAAATAACTGAACAGTTTC